GTACGATACATTTTGACAAATATCTCCGACACCGTACATCTTAGCGATGAGGCATGAAATCTTGTATTTTCGTTGCAATTTTTCTATAATTGTCTTGTCTAGCTGCCATGTGAAGATTTCCTTGTTGGGGTGTCGTCTTTGAGGGCGCAAAGGGGGGGGGGGGGGGGGAGTTCTAAGCTTTGTCGAGCTGTACGTCTCCCGCGTTTTACCCACCCTCTGATTCACGGCATTTCTTGTGCCCCCCCCATGATGCAAATAACATTATTTTAACATTACTTCATCACTTCACACCCTACGCAGTACGCCGCAAAAAGGAAGTAGGTGACCTGCAGGCTTGTTTCAGTAGAGGCCCTGTGAAGTTTATGCGGAACGCAAGTACGCCTGCTTCTTGCACAGGGGTTAATTGCGATCATGTCAGAACGCCGAACTCTTATTGACTGATTGAAAAACCAAAAAGAATAGTGGATGGACCTCAAGCCGTCTAGCATTAAAGTACTATCTTTTTTTGTTGTTGTTGTTGATTGATAGGTTATATTTTTCAAATCAAAGTCAGTCAGAACTCGGCGTCGTTCTGACGTCACCGCAACTCCTGTACAAGAATCAGACGACTTGCTCTCCGTATAGCGACACCACCTAGAAGGTAGAAGGCAGGGCCTGCGCATGACCTCATCATCGGTCGATCCCGAACCTGCTTCAAGCAGCAAACACGCCGAAGCTTGACGAGAGTCGCCGCCAAGCGGCAGACGCGTTCGTCTTGGTGTCGCTGCGTGGCTATGCGGACCGCAAGTTGGTCTGCTCCTTTTGCGGGAGTTGTGCTGACGTCAGAAAGACGCCGAGGTCTGATTGGCTCCGATTGGAAGGATATTGGGTGGACCCCAATGCTAGCTGCCTCGAGGTCTACCCGCTGTCCTTCCAATCGGAGCCAATCAGAGCTCGGCGTCTTTCTGACGTCAGCACAACCCCTGCTCAAGAAGCAGACATGCTGTCTAGAGTCTCGACTCTAGACAGCATCCATAAATGTGGCCGCCCAGAGAATACTGCTTATAGACGCTTTGCAGGAGCTGTGCATGGACGCCGCCATAACTGACCTTCAGTTTTTGTTTCCTCCTATTCCGTTTATTTCACTTCATCATTACCATAGCAGGCCAGGTTATTGCCATATTAGCCTCAACTGTGTCCTTTTCTAAAGCATCGGCTTTTGTAGGGGATCGTCAACTACCGTTTCAGTTGCTCGGCATCTCGGTAAGACAAGAGAAGGTCACCAATGGCGGCTGTAATTTGGCGCGTGTGCAAAGCGTCTATAGGACGCATCGCTCTCATGTTTGTTTGGATCGAAAGAGCGCCTTTCTCAGGCACGGAAGCGCAAGGGTGTTTTTTTTTTTAGCTCCGACTGTTCTCGTGCTATCATTGAAATAAGGCGCGTTCTCGGATCACCCATGAACAGCCTCTGGGCTGCCAGCTGACGCCTCTAGAGACGATTCGAATCTGTCCCGCGCCCATTGACAGACGAGCCTGACGAGATGCCGCGAGTCGAGCAGGTCAGGATGAGATGACGCCGCCGCGCCTTGTGCAAGGTACATATACCTTGCCTCGTGCGTCTTCGATTGATATTAAAGCTGCGTCATCTAGTTTTGCCGAGAAGATATTGAAAGAAAGCGCTCGCTCTTGTCCTTGAAATTACACCGCAACAAAGGAGTTTCTTGGCCAGTGGCGTCGCCTGCGAGCATACTTGGGTCCCCGCTAGAGCCAGCAAGCTCGTGTAAAATGTAAAGCATTCCAAACTGAAGTCGTTGCACGGCCCGTTTACCATGATGCCAAAGATAAACGGCTAAGCTCTGAGCGATAACGTTCGCCACTACAGTGGGAACACGGCAAAGGCCACCCTCATCGAGCGAATTACTACTTTCTGGATATTTAGACGGCGATAGGAGACTCATCTCAAAATTAGATATTTTGCCAGTACAAAATGACTGCTAAATACCTGGGGTCTTTAACGTGAATTTCTTTAACGTGAATTACAGAGTATAGTGATTACACGAGTGCAGATAATAATAAATGATGGTGCAAATGAATGAAAGCGGATATCCACGGCGCCACAAACTTACCTGAAAGACCGGTCGACAACGCCAACGGCGGGGTTTGCGTATACAGTTTTTGTGCAGCGTACTATGCAAGGCTCCGAAATGGCGGCACGGATATGGATGAATTGGAGCGCCACGGCGCGAAGCTTGGGGTTGTCGGTACTCTGGAGACCTATTCAGTGACTCTAGTCATCACAGTCGGATGGCGCCAACTCACTGAACCCAAGCCCGATGTCAAGCGTCTTTCGACGCGTTCATTGGACACGGGGCTCAGGTGAACGCTGCATTCGTGCCGAATATGTGTTTCCAATCGATCTCACTCTGATGACGTCAAATGTTTAGTGCACAGGCTCCTATTATTTTAGGTGGGCTCGCCTGGTAGCGCTTCCAGAATTTCAGTATTTTTCGGATGTTCGCACATGTTTTGATAAGGAGTGAATCGCGATAGAATGGGGTGGGGCCACTACCTTGTTGGGTATGTTTATGCCCTGAAGATTTTTTACACCTCAAGAAAATCGGTACATGTGGAATGCCTTTACGTAATTCCTGTTGCGTCGCCAGCAGCAAAGTTAAATTAGGCGGCCTGGCTTAGCTTGAGGATTGATGTACGATGCCAAGTCTAATAATTTTAGCATATCTTCCTCTTTAGATCTTCGCTTACGTAATGTCTATCAACAGCCTGCCCTAGCCTCACTAGAGCGACAAACAAAAACAAACGACACCGACAAGCCTAAAACACGTGCCGCATGTCTCTCGGCGCTCGTGAAGCAAGCACGAGTGATATTGCAAGCCTGCCAAAGGTGCCATCGCGTGAATGCTGCACGTGTTTGAGGCTTGTCTGTGCCGGTTGTTTTTGTTTGTCGCTCTGCTAGGACTAAGGCATTAAGGTAATGTGAATATATAAAAGAAATTGAGAGATACATGTTCTGATCTAGCGATCAAGCCGCCATGTTCAGAATTGAAATGCATAAAAAACGGTAGGCTTTCATAACATTTCTTTTAATGGCATATTGTCGACTCAGTATAGCGTCACTTGGCCTGACGTCACCCAACATGGTCACGTGACGTTATTGTGTCACATCATAGTTTCAAGCAACGTGAAATTACTAATTCCGTGTCACGCGCCGTGCCATTACGTCTCACGTGACATGAGGTCACCTTACACCAGGACTTGACACCCATCATTAGTATATCCTAGTGTCACTGGCTTCTGTGTCAGAGTATACCGCATTCCCATTCTTTAATGCTTTGCCGACAACAGCCTCACTCTAGCCGTGTATATATGTTTTGATTACCTGCGGCATCATTGCACGGCAGCAGTCGCGTCTGTTGTCACTATAATTATTCCATTTTCAAATCGCCGCCATAAGCCACGATATTGTTGACAGCCAGATTCTGCTGAAGTGATCAGGTCGCGTCTCAAGCACTTAGCACCGTGACGCCCGTATTTTCAGGGAACCGCATTTTAACGTTCCGGATTTCGCGACTCCCATGCCTGCTTGCCTTTCGGGTGTCGATGCAGGTCAGAGAACGACACAAGACTCTTCCGCATCTCCTTGGGAAAGAAGACTACTGTGAAGTAGATGAGTGTTTTTCTTGCCATTATAAAACGAAAGAGTTCCAAGCCCACTGCAGGAAGCAAGCTTTGTGTGGCGAGTGTATTTCACTGGTCTTCTCGGCGTATGCGGAGGGCAAGTTCGCCTGCTTCTTGCGCAGGGGGTAGCGGTGACGTCAGAACGCCGAGCCCTGATTGGCTGATCGCGACCCCCTATCTGAGCGTCGTCTGCTCCTTTGCAACGTCGTCTGCTCGCAACGTCGTCGGCGTCTGTCTTACCTTTCCTGCGACTTTCGGAAGTGCAGAGGCCAGATTCACGAAACGATCTTACGCCAAATATGTGCGTAAGACAAAACTTGAGAACAAATTCGTATTCACGAAACGAAATGATCGTTTTGCGCAGGTTACGACGGAATCCTACGGCAGCTCCGAAGCTGTCTTACGCACTTCTTACGATCAAATCAGCATGGCCGACAGCGTCGCTCAGTTACTTGGTCGCGACGACCAACGGACGTTTATTTTTGTACGTTCTCTTCTCACGCGTCCCGACTACAACCAGCAAGAAAAAAAGGAAAAAGTACTTGAAATAAACCACGACGAACAAGAACGCTGAATCCACAAACACCCGGGAAAAGCTCCAAGGGCCACGATCCCACCGACCTCGGCCAAGAGAGCTCGGCAGATAGGCCCAGCAGGCACTCCGACGGTCCTTGGCCAAGACAGTTTGCCCACGACCGGCTGGCGTGCTGAATGGAACATGCCCGCGCGACCCTTGTGAACCCTTCCCATATTATACTTTGATCGCTAACCTCAATTTTAGATCAAGAGGTCAATCTCTTTTTCTTGTCATCTCCTTGTTTTCCGAGGGAGCGGAGACTCTCGCCGCTGAAAAAGCGGTGAATCTCCGACAGACGCAGGAAAGGTAAAGCAGCCATCGCTTTGACTAGCAGACGTAAAGCAGACTGCGCCAACCCGCCGATGCCGTTAAAGAGGGAGGAGTCTCGCCGCACACGAAAGGAGGAAAAAGTATTCGGGAGGGAACTTGCGGACACTAACAAGCTCACCTCTCGGTTCTTAGCAAACAAACCTCGGCGCCTCGGGACACCTCGCCAGTGAGTCCTTTGACCTCCCCCCTTGATGCGCGTCTGCTAGTTGTTAGACAGAAACAACGTACCGCTCGAGTTATTTCGTCTGCCCTCTCTGAAAGGCGAAGTCGAGCTCGCTCGTAAAGACCTGCACTTCCGAAAGTCGCGGGAAAGGTAAGACAGACGCAGACGACGTTGCGAGCAGACGACGTTGCAAAGGGGCATGCGACGCTCAGATGGGGTCGCGATCAGCCAATCAGGGCTCGGCGTTCTGACGTCACCGCTACCTCCTTTCTCATGCGCAGAAGACGAAAATAAGCCCACTTGCGAGGCGTATTGCTCGTCGGCTCGGCCGCCGATCAGGCTGTTTCACTGAACTTGGTTCTGCACGAACGATGCTTGGAAAAACGGCTGCTTCTAAATATGAATTCTATTGCAGTGCAGTCTACTCAAGTTGCTTCGCTTCGTATAAAGCATAAAAAAAAAAATGTAAGGATTTGTGTAAATGGGCACTCAGGCGGTTGCCATTTGACCTTTTTTTATTACATTTTTGTTTCTCTGTCTTGATTAATGAAGCTTTGACAGCCCGGGTTTAGATAGGTATGTCACTTGATGCCCCGAGTGAGTAAGACGCGTCTTGCTGTTTAGGTAATGAATGACGGCAGAAAAATACTTGGTGCTTGTGGTTTAGAGAGTCAGATTTCATATCAAGCCATTCTCGTAACTCACTGTCACATTCATTTGTCCACATTAATCTTTTACAAAGATAGCGTCGACGGCCAACTGCCTTGAGAATCGTCATGGGGAAATCATTGCTGAACTTCGCTGCTAGCTTCATCTGACCAACAAAGCAAGTTTCAGGCTATCACAAGAACCTGAGGCTATGTTTCAATCTATCCTCTTCCTGTCCAGTCCTGAAAATCTTGCATTCAGTTGTAAAGAAATCAATAAAATGCTGCTGCATTTTATCGCTTTCTACGATATGCTAAAAAGGCATAAATAAAAAAAAATGCCAGCGGCTTAATGTGATGCCAGAAATAATCGGCTAAGCTCCAAGTCTGAGCGATAAAGTTCGCCAATGCAGTGGGAACACGGCGCAGGCCACCCTCATCGAGTGTATTACTTGTCTTTCTGGATGTTTAGGCAGTGATAGACGGTTCATTTCAAAATGAAAGATTTGACCAGTGCGGCATGACACCCGGGGTCATTAACTTGAAACTCGGAGTTAGATACACGAGGGCATTCAGACTGCATTGTAAATAATGTCGCAAAAGAAAGCGGTTATCCAGAGCGCCACACACCTAAAAGACCTGGCGACCACGCCGACGGCGCGGTATCCGTACAGTTATTGCACAGTGTACATGCAAGGCTCCCAATTGGAGTCACGTATATGGATGATTTAGAGCGCGCGGAGCTTCGGAGCCTAACTACTCTGGAACCGTCTCGGTGACTAGTATATCCATAACGTTGACACCGTGACATTACGTGACGACACGACTTTGTACCGCGAGTTGCGCGACGTGCCACGAACGGCACGAATACAAAATCTTGATTAGCTTCCGCGAGAATGCGATTCGGCATCAAAAATTAATATGGCCGAGTGACACGGTTCTTTTAAATATAGTTTCGTGGTTATCAAGAGAGACACTGGCGAGCACAGAGCACGCACATTATAGCAGCACCTCCAGTCTCTGACACAATGAGAATGTAAGTACTCATTACCTTCTATGCACACGAAACGCCCAAGTGCCATCAAATTTGAGAAACTGGCGCTGGGGGTCTGGCAACTCAGAGGCCACCCCGCCGTCCTTTCATTAACAGCACAGGCCGTTTCTTTTTAAGCCTAACAAATTTGCTAAAAAAAAAACTTACGAAAGCGACACTATTGCGCTTTGGGCAAGCGAGTTGTACGGCCACGGGGACATTATTTGTAGAGGGGGCAAATTATAACGATCAGTCGGCTAATTAACTATAAGTATGTTAACGTTTTCACTATTGGAAATAAACGTATGGTTTTAATTATAAACTTGCTGAGCGTCACCTAAGACCGATAAATCAGTCAATATCAGGACGACTTAACGCGCGTGGAAAGCAGGTGGAGTGCTAAAGTTACCCCTCGGGTAGCAGGAGCAAGGCTACAGGCGTGATCAAACACCCGCGCGGTTTTTCCGTCTCTTACCGTAGCCCGAGCCTTGTGCCTGTCGCGCGAGTGGTCCCTTTAGCGCACTACTGCGCTTCCCACCCGCCTAAATTATTTCCAATAATTACTCATTTGGTAGGTTTAAATAACGCTCAATAAGTTTTTGATTAGAATCATATGTCTATTTTCACTCATTAAAAAGTTGATTAATACATTTTAGTTAATTATTCTATTTATTAGGACAATTTGTCACTTATATTTTGTCCCCCTGGCCATATAACTCACCCGCAGAAAACGAATTAGTGTAGCTTTCACTGTGTTAAAAAAGACAAAAAAACACCCTGTATGTTGGGCAATACACGGAGCAGTGAAAGGTGTATCAGAAAGAAGTATTTCTGGGGCAAGCTAACTGCTGGGCGTCGCGTTGAACGCGAACTCCTCTTTGGCCTTTCGAAGCAACTCCGAATCCTTGAGGAAGTCCAGGGCCGTCAGGGCCAGGGCCCGGGCCACCTTGAGCGTGGGCTCCTGGGCGTCCCGGTCTCCCGCAGCACGGCTGAACTCCCGGGTGTGGTTGCGGGCCGTGGCTCGAAGAGCGTACACCGGGTGCGCCGTCGGAACGGCGTGCGACACGTTGGCCGCGTCCGTCGATGCTCCGGTCCCGATCACCGCTCTGGGGTCCTCGCCCTCAAATGTGATGCCTGCATCGAGGACACGCGTGCTGAATTCACCATTTCTCACGTTACTGGTTTGAGATTTATTTGCTATGAAAGTGCGTGGGCGATGTACGAGCGAGAGCGAACATTCCCTGAAGCGACGCTTTGGATCCTGCAGCCTCACGGAGCTATGGACGCGTGGCCGAGAGGGAGCTCCAGAAACATCTTTTTTGTGCCTATTGTGACTTGTACCCCAAGGTTCGTTGGAAGAAAAGCTTCTCATTTCCCTTTCAAATTGCATCTTACGTTTCCTCAAGTTCCCTACAAAAGAAATCCTCAAACCAAGCCACAGACAAGAAGCACCGGTTCTTCAGGAAGGAGTGACTACAGATCGAGCACGCGGCAAGAGACATGAGTAGCCCTTTTCTTTGTTAAAACAAGGCTGCAGCTGGGCTGTGGTCTGGCTTTGTTATATACATATATATACCCCATATTATATACATATACATATATATATCCCCAAGTACCTGGGAACAAAGAAGACGGGTAAATGAAGTATATAAGCACAAAACAAAACAAAGAGGAAATTAAGTGTGCTTATTTCAGCTCTCGAGAAGAGGATGTTACGAGTAACGTAACTACGCTACCCGTTACTCTAAATAAGTAACGGAAGTACGTTACCTATCACTGTTCTAGAAAAGGAGCGAGTACGTTAATTTACTACGTTACAGAAAAAGGAACGCATCACCGGTAATGCCGTTACTTCTAAGTTTTAAGTTCTAACGCGTTTCCGCCAACACTGCCTAAAAGTCAAACGCTAACCTAAAAAAAAAAAAAAGAAGAAAAACGTAGCATTTTGCGCATGTTTTCTTTTCCTTTTGGCGTGAGCTTAATTAGAATTCATTTTACGCCATTAAACTTATTGTAAACCATCGGAAACAAGCAGTACTGCCCTCCATATTGTCCCACATTACAACATCTGATGTCAGGCTTTCAGTGTTGCCAGTAGAACCTCTCGGCCTCAGACAAAATTTAAAAAAAAAAAAAATTGAATGATTTCATAATTAAGTTTACTTGTAATTAAGTTTACTATAGCGCATATGTGGTCACTTAGGGCCCAAATATAGTCAGATGTGATATTTATTTCATTAAAAGACGCCCCAATATTCGGGCTGGCTGCTGCTCGTCCAGATACTCCCGCACGCTTCCGAATTAAAACAGGCACACAGAAGATATATATATATATATTTAAAAAAAAAAGGGGGGGGGGGGGGGGGGGCTTGGTCTGGACCGCCGGGCAACCGCTACACAACGGAGCGTCCGACTTTGGCTAGCGTTGCCCTGTTCACTTTAGCACACGGCATTCAGATGATAGCGTCCGCCATTGCTGTTTTTAGACGCTGCGTGCGCGCGGCCGTCTGAAAGGACGCTTCGTTGCCATGCGGACACTACTGACCATAACAGACGGGTTTTATCGTGGGGAATGGAACTGCGGATTGGCGAGATCAGCTAGGTGCCAACGTGGGTTCTTCCGCCGTGCTGTTCAATGGATGGAAAGTGAACAAAACGTTTGAAATGAAGGCGTTACGCAGACGGCTAATTTTCTCAGAGCCTTTTTTTTTTAGTTTTACACAAAAAGTATGTTTTTGGCTCGCAATTTGGATGAAGGTTTTGTACCGCAGCTTGCGGCTAACCTATACCGATGGGCACTAGAGGGAACGAACCTGTCGTCGTGTCAGTTATTTTACTTCACCGTATCTTAGGGTCTATAATATGATGCTCACCAAGAGCCTCGCCGTGCCTCTGGTAGACGCTGACGATGGTGTCATTGTGCAGCATGTGCTTGTACTTCATGCCCCGGATGATGTCGACCGAGCAGCCCGTGGCCTCTGCGGCGCCCCTAAAGCACGCTTCCACCTTCGACAGGATCACGTCGAGCTCCTCTGTACTGGGGGCCCGGATATGGTACTTGAGTTCACTCTCTTCGGGTATCAAATTCGGGTACTTGCCCGCCTGGAGCATCACTCCTGAAAGTCAACAAAACAACCTAAGATTGATTTTGTCGGAGGGTCCTACAGCGCAACTCAAAGATATCGATGGCTGTTTGAAGGTATACCGCATGAGTGAGGTTGTTGTAGAGAGGTGGCCGAAAAACATGTATTAACGGTATAAAAATTTCACTGAAAAATCTTACGTGAATAAAACGATAGAAATAAATGACTTTAAATCCTGATCGACGGCGTCCTTCTGTTAACGAAAGGCGTCTTATTGGCGTCTTTCTCCAGGGAGTTCTTCAGGGAGTTCTTCTCCGGGGATTTTTTCTGTGCTGACATCTCCGCGAAGTATTTCTCCGGGAAGTATTTCTCCGGGAAGTATTTCTCCGGGAAGTATTTCTCCGGGAAGTATTTCTCCGGGAAGTATTTCTCCGGGAAGTATTTCTCCGGGAAGTATTTCTCCGGGAAGTATTTCTCCGGGGAGGATTTCTCCGGGGAGGATTTCTCCGGGGAGGAGTTCTCCGGGGAGTACTTCTCCCTGGAGTACTTCTCCGGGGAGTATTTCTCCGGGGAGTATTCCGCCGGGGAGTATTTATCCAGGGAGCACTCTTGCGGAGAGCACTTTTGCGGAGAGCACTTCTCCGGGGAGTATTTCTCCGGAGAGTACTTCTCCGGAGAGTACTTCTCCGGAGAGTACTTCTCCGGAGAGCACTTCTCCGGAGAGCACTTCTCCGGAGAGCACTTCTCCGGAGAGCACTTCTCCGGAGAGCACTTCTCCGGGGAACTCTTCTCCGGGGAACTCTTCTCCGGGGAACTCTTCTCCGGGGAACTCTTCTCCGGGGAACTCTTCTCCGGGGAACTCTTCTCCGGGGAACTCTTCTCCGGGGAACTCTTCTCCGGGGAGCACTTATCCGGGGAGCACTTCTCCGTAAAGTTTTCCTTTGGGAAGGTTTTATTATTTTCTTTTTTTTTTTTTGGGGGGGGGGGGGGGTTTATTGTCACCGATAGAGGTTAAGAAGCTCTGCCCAATTACTCACCGTGCACCCTCCACGCAGGCTTCATCTGCTGTCTGAGCACAGAGATGTTCATATAGGAGGTGACGGCTGCGTCCAAGGCGTTCAGACCCTCCCAGGGAGACGCTGCGGCGTGCGCGGTCCGTCCTCGGAACTTGACTGACAGCTGCAGGATGGGCAACGACAGTGATTCGAGACGTGTGCCCCACTCCGCAAGCGAAGTTCTTTCGCCCGCAAGACGTGAACCACGCCACTTAGAAACCGCTTTTTTTTTTCTTGTGTTTCGGCGAAATTAGTGGGTCGACGCAATGTCTGCCTTTGTCACATAGCTGCCTTTGTCTCTACTCACTGTGGGTACGCAATCAAATATCTATACTCCGCGACAACTTTTCTTGGCAATGCAGTGGAATGTACGTCCCGCGTCCCCTCTCCCATTTTGAGTGTACGCAGGCTCTCCTGCTCCCCCATTTCCGAGGAGAGGAGGAGAGCCTGCGTACACTCAAAATGGGAGAGGGGACGCGGGACGTACCTTCCACTGCATTGCCAAGAAAAGTAGTCGCGGAGTATAGTAGTGACAAAGGCAGCACACCTTTGCGTCTACGCACTAAGCATTTTAATAGGAGCTCTGCACCCCCACGTCTTCGCGAGGTCTAATCTCCGCATCTCCTTCAGTTTTGTTACCGCAAAGGGGGAAGCCCGGCACAATATTGTGACAAGAGGACACCAGGAAAAAGAGAAGGAAGGAGGGAAACCAAGAACCTGCGCACTTAGCGCTATGCGGGGCAGCGACCAGGGACCGTACCACGTTCCTCAGAGAATGGCCCCAGGGCGGGATGACACAAAACGCCGAGGCCTTAGTCTGCACTCGCTCTTCCTCACTCTTTTGCGGTGACTAGTTAATCTTTTGTTCTGCCTGTAGATTCCCGGGCTTGCCGCGCAGAGAGCAGACTACTTCATGTGTTAAGGTATAGGATCAAATATGGCGGTCGCTTATGGAGGCATACGACGTGTGGGTGCTTTTTTCGTACAAATCTAACGGCATTTGCTGCTCCTGCGCAAGAAGTGTCAAGCCAGCATTGATTTGCAAGATGTGTGGGGCCATTGCGAGAAAACGCGTATGTGATTGGTGTGAAATTTGTTGAATTACTGCAAAACTACAAAGAATGTGGAAGTAGACCACGGTAAGACCAAATATTTTACAAGTAGAATACATTCTAATCCACTCATTTGCATTAGACGTGGCGCATACAGCGCCAAATCATCCCCTGGAGGGTGGGGCAAACTCAGCGTCCGAGAGAACACAGGCGCATCGTGCTTTCCAGGCTGCCGCGCCTTCACGCTGCGCCGAGGGATCGTTCGGGATCGGCTGTCTTGGCGAATCCGGACTCGTGAATCTGGACGCCCAATGCCTCTGGAAAAACCCCCAAGGTGCTCGCGTCCAGCCATTCCACCTATGCAAAAGCTGTCGGTGCCAAGGCCATTGAATTTTCGCGGAGTAAAGGGATGTCAAGAGCACGCGTTTCCTGTATTTGCTGCAGCCGAATCGTAGAGGTTTTCCTCTAGTTCCGGTCCGTTTTGTTGCGTTTTTTTTTTCTTCTTTTTGTTTTTAGCTTAGGGGGTGGGGATGGGAACTCCCCTTCGCATCTGTCTTTGGTCAGAGGCTTAGAGTGAGCTCATCCCGTGCGCCCGGACAGCCACTGGCACGCACGGATGGCTGTCGTCAAGGCCTCCAGTGTTGTTTTTAGTCCACCCGAAAACAAGAAAAATGTGAAGATGACAGCGAGGAGGCAACCCGTACTGTTTGCGTGATTGAAGGCGGCATTAATTAAAGCAGTTTTGGATTTAATATGTGATGTAGTCTGTCACTTAAAGGGGGAGTGCAACGATTGTCGGACTTCGGTCAAAGATTTCTGGAAGTTGCCCTCTGACACTTCTGAAGTAAAGAACAGAAAACCGATTTCGCCTGCGTGTACCTAGCTGTTGCGTAGAAAAAAAGATAAAGATTGGCATTTCGGGCACCCCTCAACTTACTCCCAGCCTTCAGGGTCACACCTGATCCCCCTTCAAGTGACGTCATTCGGAGTGCCGTGTAGGTTCCCGTGTGCTATCTCGGAGGGCGCTTCCTCTCCCTCTCTCTACTGACATTAGCGGGCGTTATGCTGCAGCTTAGAGCCGAGCGAGGTCACGTAATCTTTCCGCCGTAGTTCCTTCGGCTGCCACTTGGGGCTGCGGGTGGGGGAAATAAAATTACACCATCTTCCCGAGGGGAACCATGGGGTGATGCGGAGCATCGCGGATCGTTATTAACGGTGTTATTAACGGTGTTAGTAACGTTGTTGAACTTCACGGTCCCGAACCTCAGGTTCTGCTGCTCGACGTTCACGAACCAACGCGGCTTCCCGTTCTCGAAGGTCGGGTTCCGCCGCTCGCTTCGTACGTTTACGTTGAACTTCACGGTCCCGAACCTCAGGTTCTGCTGCTCGACGTTCTCGAACCGCCGCTGCTTCACGTTGTCCTAGTTCAGCATCCGCCGCTCGACGTTGACGAATGGACGCCACTTCTCGTTGCTGTAGTTCAGGGTCTGCCGCTCGCTTCAAGCGTTTGCGCTCAGCGTCGCGTGCCCTTCGCTGCGCAGCTTTGTCTTCAGTGGACGTAGCGTTGCTGTTAGTTTGTGGGGTGGTGCTGACGCTTGCTTGCGCCAACCCACTAACTGACGGGACTGTTGCTTCCATCACACTTCATCGGAAGAACGGAGTGAAGTGGAGTCAACAGCGGGTGAACTGAACGCGCGCAGTGGTTTGCTCTGTATGTTTATACAGCCTTGATGGAGATGCGCCTCAACGGGTAATCGGTCTCTTAGCTGTAGATGAGACATTAGAGAGTTTTAGTATACCGTTTTCATCTTCCGCTCCGCTCTGACGGTGCCAAACTGCGCATGCGCGGCCCGCTTCGCCGGAATGGAAAGCGGAGGTCCAAAAACGCGTTTTAGTGGAGCGTTTTTCTTCAGCGTAAGAGCGTTTTGAGCGGGTTCGAAAAATTTGCTGGCGTAGCCCCACAAGTGGACGTTTATAGTACTAGTAAGACAAAAAAACCTAAGCGTTAACACCAAGAGACTAAAAGGGAGCGGGATTGTAGAGGTAGTAAAAACGAAGGTGACAACAATGAACACAAAAGAGTAGGCACACACCTGAAGAAATATTAAGCTATAAAATATAAATATAATCGTTCCACCGTGTGTGCGAGTGAAGCCGAAGGTATAAGCATGAGCATGTTGCTCTAAAGGTGTATCCACACGACGGGCCAAATTGCTGTTTTGGTCCGCGGGCCGCGCATCACGTGATCTTACGTCACCGGTTTTCGAGGTCCGCCGGCGGTCCGCGGCCCGCGCTTCTGAGAAATGCCAAGCGACATTTCTCGCCCGGACCTTGGCGGCGGACCGCGGCGTTTTTAGTATAATTGAAGCGCTAAGTCTGGCAACAAGCTGACTTTTGTTGTTTGGATTAGAATCTAAATCCTAAGTCGTTTTCTTTTGGCGCCAACTATGGAAGACGAAGAAGACGAACCTTTTCTTGTGCGACGATGCAACTTTTTACTTCATCGCGCTCATGGAGCAATTCCCCGCTCTGTGGGACAATAGTCGCGACGACTACCCAAATAATCATCTAAAGATGTCCCCATGTCTTTTTCGGTTCACTTAAGTCGTCCTCGTCCTTAATATTCAACGCCAGGGCCACCGCGACCAAACGTCTCTTTCGTTCAACCCCCATCTTGGCTCCTTACAAATAGCCTCAAAGCAGCTCGCTGCATGCGCTTGGCGGAGCTGTGAGGTCGAGGGTTAGACCGGCCGGTTCGCTCTGTCGTCTGCTCTTTTGGTCCGCCGTGTGGATGCTCATTGCAGCCGGGCGGCCCGCGGGCCGTGCATCATGTGATCAATCGGTCCGCGGCCCGGTCCGTCGTGTGGATACACCTTTAACGGTACTTGCACTGCACGAGCGAGCGTGCTTATCAAGGACGCTGAAAGGCCGGCACTCGCTCTTGTAGCTTCTGCTCCACTCGAATTAATACTGAAACAGATTTACTTATTCGAAGTAGAAAAATAAGGGAAAAGGACGAAGTTTGCGCATTGCGAGTACATCCTTTTGCGTAGTACGAGTACAGAGTTGCTCAAGGCTAGCAAGGCATCTGCACGATGAATCCCCGCTGTTCTCAAGGAAGGAGACTTCTACTAACGAGATTAAGCTGGCGAGACATCGAATCTATGATTCGTATCCCTCGTGCCATCAAGCGCCGAAGCTTCCTTTCCGAACGCGGTTGGCTGGATATTTCCAACGTGGAAAAGAAACCCTTCAGGAAGCTATCCTGCTTAAAGAAGGACCTGGCTGTTCTGCATGCGGGCCTCCAAACACCAGCACCCGACAGATCGGCGCAGGGTGTTGCCAATCTAGCGAGACGCTTTGCATGGTTCTTCCTCGACTGGCCTATCCCAACCGTCTGTTCGTACTTGGATGAGCACTTGGACGGAGCTTGTCGGTGTTCTTCAGTTCTGTGAAGCTCATCGTGGGTCACATCAACAATAGGTTCGGCCACCTGCTCGCTGACATGAACAAACATAGGTGGTTGGCCCTGGCGAAACTGGAGCTGCGCTCACAGGTGAGACCCTGTATGGTTTGTGTAAATTTCGCGTTTCCACTGTTTCTAGCACAGCTGCTCTGTCTGGTGAAAAGTTACTTTTTTCTATACGCCAAAGGTGTACATGGGAAGTGTCAGGACAAGTCACGACGAGCGCGTTCGTAATCTGTGAGTATTAGTAGGCCACTTTTATGAGCCCTCTTTGCTCTACTTTACGCTCTGCGAGAAGCATCGTCCCCACCGCGCATGCGTGGCCCGCTCTGATTTGGAGCGTATAGTTAGCGGAGTGAGCGTGCGCTCCGCTTCACAAGTTGTAGAGCGGACTGCCCTCAGCGTCCTTAGCGTGATCGCTTAGATTTCAAGATGGCTGCACTTACTCAATACGCGTCGATGTTTTTCACCGTGACTCAGCTTGAAAGAGGTTGAATCAAGAAGTAAAGCGTACGCCCCGCGCGTGAAAAGTAAACCATTCGATTTGAGTTCTATGTAACACAAAAGAGCATAATCAAACGAAGTGAACGAGTATCACTTTGCAAC